TGTCATATCCATATATGGTATGTATAAAAAAATCTTTGGTACAAATGCAAATTACATTAATAATAACACAATTAGTATTGAAAAGTACGTATATGTAAATAAAACTTTTATATGATAGTTTTTATCGTAATACTATTTAACAGAAATATATATTTCAAAAAACAATTAAATAAAAGAAACAAAACGGACGGATATTTTCAGATATCGTAATGAAGTTGTAATTGGCAATAATTACAGAATAATAATTTTTCTAATTATTATTCTATATTTCTTCTTGCTCTTTATATTTGTTAATTACTTTCAATATATCAAGTACACAATTAAATCTCATATCGGATTTAACTTGTTTTAGACCAACATATGCACACTTTAACATATCATTTATGTCTTTATCAACATTATCGCTATCAGAAATATGTACTTTCTGTTCAGGTTTTTGTGAGATTATGTGTTCAACACTTTGTGCTACTTTCTGAAGTGACTGTACACCTGAACGCATATAATTATCCATATCTACGTTTTTTTTCTTATAAAATTCATCTGGTTCTGGTATTTTTACATTACTGTTCTCCTTTTGCTTGTATTTTTCCTTTGTGTATTTTTCAGTTTTGTTACATTGTGCCTGTTTTGATGAAACTTTATTCAATACTGCATGTGCCATAGGGGAGAAAGGGACACGATCTTCTATATGAAAATTATGCATCTCATTCTTGTCATATGATGATTGTTGTGATATTGACAGCAGACTGTCATCTAAAACAATTAATAGAAAACGACCAATAAAAACNACTTATAATGAGTGCACAAGTCCTGATTACACATGATCAAATAACAGATATGATTGTTGAACTACAGACATTAAAACTATTTAGATCACAAATCATGATTGTGTATCAGGGACGTTTCCCTTACAAAATAATTTTCANAAACTAAAAATCAGTGCTAATAAGAATAATTTCATATATATAAATACATACCACTGCTCAAAGATATGCTCTCATACGTGTACGTATCAGATTGTGCAGTATCAACGTCTGCAGTGCCTTGAATACCTATACATGAACTGTCCATGATTATAGGTGACGGTTTGTTAATAACGAACTGAGATCCACTTGATTCATCATTAGAAATACATGATGCAGGCCGCTTCATGTTTGATTTGGTTCTGTAAAAAAAAAAATTAAAGTTTTATATATATACATACATACACATACATTTTTAAAGCTGCGTGTATGTATGTATGTACACACACACACACACATCCATATACACAGCTTTAAAAACTCTAAAATAACAAATAACAGTATACGAACTGCCGTGAACTATAATGTGGGACAAGGAATGACATTTCACCATAATACTGGAATTCCTGTGTGTCTTGGCTTGCACCCGATCCTGATCGCCCTTGCTCATAGTATTTTTTATGTTGACGTGACCACATAGCCCTTAGACTGTCCCATCGTTTTTGAGCTTGATCACCTAATATAAAAGTAAAAGAAATCATGATATTTAAATTGATATTTTAAATAAATATTTTTAAATAATTGTACATACCCGTTTTTTTGTTGGTTAGAGCGGCACCTATTTGAGCCCATACTTCTTTTTTATCCACAGTCTTGAACTCTCGCATTTTTTTATTATATATGCAAGAATTAAGCTCAACGAGCTTGATGAGCTCCATATCATCTATTTCTTCGAAGTGTAATAATTCCATTTTCTACTTTGACACAGTTTACGGCAGATTTTATAGGTTATACGAGCTCGGGTCTCTTGTTAAAAATGGCAGACACAATATTGCTTTCGATTGGTTAGTCACAACGTGATTTTAAGTTCTAACTCGGAAAAGATGGAATTTGGCCATCTCCACTCAGTCACTGACTACTGACTTATTCTTGTCTTATAACGCACTACTGACTCGCTAAAACTTGCTTCTGACTTCTGATTTATTACTAATATCTTATTGTAGAAGGCCTCTAAGGCTTCTCTCTGCTACATTACACTTCTGTAATGTCATACCACTAGTACTGGCAGTACATTTCGGAACGTAGCCTGTATCTCCTAAAAGGAAAGTAGCCACTGCCTACTTCCATTGTAGACGGCCCTTTATGTGTAGAGATCAGGGGGTCGATTCTATATCCATGCAATGTAGTGAAAATTACAAAAGTGAGCAAATTTACTAGTTGTTGATCAATAAAATCATAGATATTTTAGTAAATTTGCTTACTTTTGTAATTTTTACTACATTGCATAGATACAGAATCGACCTCCAGTAGTTGGGTACTGCGGACGCGCATGCGCATAGTTACGGCACGCGTAAATCGAGAGTTGCGCTACTGTGTGTACTCTGTCCATATTCACCATCGCAATGCTCTCTCCAGTTTTCTATGGTCTATGCTCGAGAGCTCCATTATTTTCGCCCCAGAGTCATAAGAGTACCAAATCAAACCAATATTTTCACCCGTACATCAATCTTATTAACGTCAAGATTAAGAAATGGAAACTAACCTCACATATTTTATGTATGTGTACATATATATATATACTTATACATAACATATATATAATATATACATATATATAATAAATACATTAAAATGCATTTATTATCTTACACGGTGATATTAATTTCTCTTGGCATATTATGTCATACATGGGAGGTACTTATCTCTTTTATTTAATTAATAAAATCATTTTTATATTTTTATCATAGGTAAGAAATTAAATTTACAGATACCAGAAAACTTTGCAAAAACTGAACATTCCAACAATTGGGCAGTATTGGTTGATACATCACGTTTCTGGTTCAATTATCGACATGTTGCAAATGTTTTGTCTATTTATCGAAGTGTTAAACGTATGGGAATACCAGACTCGCAAATTATTCTTATGATAGCAGATGATATGGCATGCAATCCTAGAAATCCTAGACCTGCGACTGTTTTTAACAACATTAAACAACATATTAATGTTTATGGTGATGATGTTGAAGTTGATTACAGAGGTTACGAAGTAACTGTAGAAAATTTTGTAAGGTTATTAACTGGTCGTTTAGCACAAGAAACACCAAGATCTAAAAAGCTACTAACTGATGAAGGTTCAAATATTTTAATATATTTAACTGGTCATGGTGGTAATGGATTCTTGAAGTTCCAAGATTCTGAAGAAATTACTAGTCAGGAATTAGGAGATGCATTAGAACAAATGTGGCAAAAACGAAGATATCATGAAATTTTGTTTGTAGTTGACACTTGTCAAGCAAGTTCAATGTATGAAAAATTTTATTCTCCAAACATATTAGCAGTTGCATCTAGTTTGGTAGGAGAAGACTCACTTTCTGTAAGTAACAAGTTACTTATATATTCATATATTTCATAGAAATTAAAATCATATGTATAAATAATTTTAATACATTATATAT